GTATATATATATATATATATATATATATATAATCGGTATAAATAAGTGAATGTTTATGTATCTTGGTACACTTACCGTCTGGGCCGTCGTCGTTCTCTTCCTCGTCAGATGAGAAGTCGTCCTCATCAGAGACACCTACTTCGTCGTCCATTAGTTTGTCGTGTCGCTTCTTTCGCTTTTCCTCGCGTTCTTTGATTTCTATCACGTTAAGAGGTGCGAATAAAACATCATGATATTAGGCATTCATACATGTCGAGTCACTTTGAGGATCTCTAGGTGTGTATTGAACTACGTTGGAAGCTTCACATTCAAACCTTCATCCAGGCCTGTTCAATACCGCAATGCTCCACTATACGTACTAATCAGCCGGTCCTATATTGACACGAAAACATAAATTTTATTCGATGATACATATACGAAGACATAAATCAGCAACAATCAATAGCCATACGCGCACTTCGTCACAGCCAGAATTGCTATCACATATATATCACGGACAACACACATACTTTGTTGATCCTTCACTCCCTGGATGACTTTCCTGATCATCATCGGTTTGCCATTGTCGTCGTCCTGTAGTTATAGCAATAAAGTAACCCCGGCTAAGGATGTGCACAATATCCAGACTACATTTGATTTAATAGTAAAGTGACAAAGCGCTAAGATCAACGAATCTCGTGCGCTTGACAATCATATAACTGATACCTACACATAGGACGCATACGAAGTACAGACTGCAGAAAAAATAAATAAATTTCACATTTCCTTACTTTGACAATGTTCTTTGTCATCGTTATAATCGTTAATGTACATAGATTTCTTCCTTCTAGATATCCGTGTACATATGCAAATAGACGTGTCAATCTTACTGTCGATACCTACGTATGACACAATCAGTAAACAATTTACAAACGCAACATTTACAAATGACACTTAAACATCACCCTATCAATATATATATACATACATACTTACATATATATATATATATATATATATATATATATATATATATATATATATAT